GGACCTGTTCAATTATAAGCTTTTATTTCAGTCAAGTGTGTATCAAATCTACAGGTTTCCTGAAAAAGATAATGCAAAAACCTTTTTTTTTCATGAGAGGCTCTTTAGCCTAGAGGCTGCATCAGTGAAGATTCTTGAAAATTGGCAACACGATTTTCCGCCATTTAAGTGCACGTAAACCAATCAATTCTTGATGGTGAGGCAGTTTGCCTCGTCTAAAATCGATATTTTGAATTGATTTAAATGTAGGGAAATAGGGCTGCCAAATTGCGAATTCGTCACTGCGACAGCTATGATTAAACTTGCACCGCTGGCTATAATACTGCCATGCTAAGGAAAATCGCCGTATGAACTTCCAGATGTTGCCAAATGTCCTTTGATAAAATACTAATTTACTAGGAAAGGTGTGAATATTTTGCTTCAAATTTTTCAAGCAGTATTGTTCGCACTTTGATCCAAAATATCTGACACCATCAAGGAAAAATATGCATAACTTTCTTCCAAAATAAACGTTATCAGCGGAAATTTGGCAACACTCGAATGTTCATATGGCGCTTTTCCTGAGCACGGCAAAATAAGAGGGCTGGGAAGGAATGTTGACGGTCTCATTTTCAACGTGTGAAAACTACATTGAATATGAGGCTCTTTCACTACGGAGTCGTCAAGGAATGATGACCGCACATTAATCTTCGATTAATTTCAATGTTAATTTCACTCGGAACCGGGGAGCAGGGGAGAGCCTCATGCCGAGAGATAATGCACCGATGCAACGCAGAATGTTTATATACCTCGTTGAATTTCCCTTTAATGGAGATTAATCGCAGAACAGTGACGGCTCACCATGGGAAAGAGTCTTAACGGTTCGACTTCTCCCCGCTTTTCGCATCCGAAGATTCATTTTCCCACTAGCTTAATCGCTTGTTGATACGTGTACTGCCGTGCTACCGAAAAACGGCGTATGAATCTTCGGACGTTGCCAAATTTTCTCCAAAAAAATTAACTGAGAAAATTGTGAATATTTGTTTCCAAAATTTTCACACAATGTTTTACGCAATTTAATCTAAAATTTCTGAAAGTTTCAAGGAGAAATATGCATAAATTTTGTCAAAAATATATGTTTTATCGAAGGATATTTGGCAACTCTCAAATTAATGTTCATACGGCGTTTTTCCTTAGCACGGCAGTGTAACGATCTATGCTTCAACTGGACTATGCTGTGTGCTGTGCAACAAGAGACGAATATTTCAGGCTCGTTTTAGAAGTAACGTATGTACCGTTAGTTTCTCTTTGCAGATAGGTGCTTTTATGGATGAGATAGAGAGAGCATACTTCTTTATTGCAAAATGCAATCAAATAGCACTGAATATCACAGAAGTATGAGGAGTCTGACAATATTCTCACTTCGTTTCACTGTGATAAAGGGCGGTTTGAACTCGTAATGCTCCCAATGTTCTTTGCTGCCATTGAGGTGTAGCTCAGATTTTGGAGAAAAGTTGAGAAAAGTTGAAAAACGAGGCTCGATTACGCCTCTCTTATCTTCGGCTGACTTACACACGTAGCTCTCGAAGCACCAGTGCGAATAAGATGGAGGGAATAAACATAATATGGAAAAAGAGCAAGGAGAATACACCCGTTGCTGAAGGCGCAGAGATACATCTATTCGTGTTTGATGGATGTCCGTGTTGCATCTGCAAAATTGAAGGCGCGATGGTGGGAGGCGTCAACTCGCAATGCTCCTTTCTATGCTAAGGCGATTAAGTGTCGCTCAGATTTGGGAGAGAAGTTCAAGAACGAGACAAGAATACTTCTCCCGTATCCTAGACTGTGTTGACACTAGATTTTTTCAATTTTTCATTGAATTTATTTTTTAAAAATGTATTTGTAGTATCAAAAGCTCGTATGTAACGGCTCTACACAACCGGCAGGGCATGTGTCTTTAGCAAGCCTCAGGTCATTTGACTCGGCTAGAACATTTAAGGATTGAAAAATGAGCACCTTGTTGTAAGTTTGTATAGAGAAAAAGGTATTGTCATGGGAACGGAGTTCCCCATGATATTACAATCGTTCCGTTGCTTTCGCAATGGGATTCCCTATACCTCTGCGACCTTGAGCGTTTCGCCCAGTCTCCGATTTTTGGTTGATTTTCCGATGTATCAAAAACCGTTGTATTTTTTAGCCAATCATGTCTCTACGTCAAGTTGTGTTGATTTCTAAAATTCGCTTTCAGCGAGTTTTTTTCCACCTTCAGATGTCGTGTCTGACTGGTAAATCTGCGCAGAACCACGAAGTTCCGTTTTTAGGCAAATTCTTTTTTTTGGGAGGTTCTGATTGGTTATTTTTCGCCATCAGTTTTCTGTTCGTTGGTGCAAAAGATCGCCTACCTCGTTGCTCTTGAGAAGCCGCCATTATCCCACCTCAAATTTTAAACATAGATGTAAAGAAATAATAACCATCGTACAAGGTGGAAAATTGCTCTGGAGGACCCGTTACGGATATATGAGCCAAAATCAGAACTCGATTGATGGATTTAATCCATGAATACAGAAATATTGCCTCAGCTTACTGCCGCGATCGCAAATGCATCTGCATGATGAACCTTGTGACACATGACCGCATAGGTAAATAATGTCTCACAGAGTAATGCGCTTGATCCATTTGTCTCTTATCACGCCAGTGGCCGAACCGTTGAAATCTCAAGGACGTCTTTTGTGAAGCCCCGCTCAGCGTCCGAGATCACTTAACTGTTCTCTTTTTCCCCACTCATTACCAAGCGGTGAAATAGCTCAGTCAACTACAACACCGTTCTGGTTCTGGGAGAGTGTCACTTCTTGTGGGAGCGGGGGTTCGAATCTCGTAGAGGACAGCTAATTTTTACTGGCTGTATTGAATGTTTTAGACCAATAATCTAACAATAATTAATACTTGGCAACTTAGGAAGCACATAGGTCCCTTATGATGCGTATTTGGGCATATGTGTAGAGTAAAAATATCATACGTAGGGTGTCCCAAAAGTACCGGGACTGGTTCTGTAACTTCAAAAGTAAGATAGATGCAGACATGATTTTGGTCTCATTTTAAAGATCAACTCAATACCTATCGATTAAAATCAAGATCAGCTCAATCGAATAAAAATTGACCGAGTTATGACAATTTGAAATTAGTGAGGAAAGTTTACCCCTACGGTTTTTAAGGAAGATTTTTCGCTTACCAGGATTCAAAAAGTTAATATTCGTATCCACTTTCCTCCGAATCTTCCATAACTTCCTTTTGCTTTTCAAAGTACCGTCCATCAAACCGAATGCACTTTTTCATGCGCTCTTGCCACGTATCTAACATTGTTTTCCTGAATTCTTCCTCTGGGATGGAGTTGAAGAAGTTTTGAATTGCATTCTGGATTTTTGTCTTCGATACGAATCTTCGTCCGCGAAGCTCCTTTTTAAGCGCAGGAAACATCCAAAAATCACATGGAGCCAAGTCAGGGCTATAAGGGGGATGAGGGATTGTTTCAACTCCATTTTTACTCATAAATTCACGTGTTAAGCTCGATGTGTGAGGCCGCGCATTGACTTGATGGAGTATCCACGAAGCTTTCAAGTCCGACCGTTTCCGGGAAATGTGCATTCTCAACTCCTTTAGTACTTTGCAATAATACGCACTGTCAACTGTTGTGTTTGATGGTACAACATGTTGATAAATGACACCTCGAAAATAAAAAAACACAATAAGCATCACTTTATCGGCCGACTTTTCGATTTACGGCGATGAAGAATCTTCCTTAAAAACCGTAGGCGTAAACTTTCCTCGCTGATTTCAAATTGCCATAACTCGGTCAATTTTTATTCGATTGAGCTGATCATGGTTTTAATCGATAGGTATTGAGTTGATCTTTAAAATGAAATCAAGATCATGTCTGTATCTATCTTACTTTTGAAGTTACAGAACAAGTCCCGGTGCTTTTGGGACACCTTATGTACACTTTACGCCGAAAAAGCGAACCTGAAACTTAAATGCGTTAACTTCCGAAAACCATATATAATCCAACGAATATAAATAATTGGTACATAACAGCTTTCTTGTATGCAAAGAAAATAATTAAAAATGTTAAAAAAGAGATGTCAACACAAAATTACATAGCCCCTTCAATTCAGAAGATACTACAAACGAACTGTACCTTAACATTTTCATATCCCAGAAGCTAACGTTCCCATGACGAATATTGCTATCGCTAGCGATTGCAAAATCCAACTTGTTTGGAGTTTTAAACTTCTGCGGGCTGATTATTGAAATTGATAGACAAATCGATAGACAAAGAAGGCATAAGGAGTATGGAGCGTTCCTATTAATGGGTGGCTCTTATAAACTGAGGGGGTAAATAATGGACTAACCATCGGGTCCCTCGTGGGTTGCCGTTAGTTAGCATATTACCTACGTCTTTCGTCCATTGTAACCACCCGCTTCCACCGATATTGCCGTAATAGTGAAGAGAGCAGTATGTGCATGTCTGCATGATCCATGGTCAGCACATGCTTTTATGTGTCTCGAGGTTTATCCCGGCATGCACTTAGTTCTATTTTCGCTATCACGGCAGAAGAGGATCCTTCTATATCCTTTTTGTATTCCTTGTCCATCGCTTTGTCTATCAATTTCAACAATCAGCCCAAATGTTAACGTCAAAACTTGATGACTATTTTGACGTATAAAATACCTCTTTTACCCAGAATTTTTGACAGAGGAATATTTTTTAATGACTCGATGAATTCAAAATTATTCCTCTCTCATTTTTTTCCAAAATGCAACTTGGTGTGTTCCAGTTAAACTCGGTTTTTCTAACTCCTCCGAAAAAGTTATCTGGTCTTCGAAAAGTGAGGATATTTTCATCGGAGAAATTCACAGTTTGCTCAGTATTACGAAAAATTTTCAGGGATAAAAACTCTTGAATGTTAAAATTTACCAATGGAAAATGGAATCTAATCGCAAGTATTTTTTTATTGGCTTTCCAGTGCGATAAGAGGGGGATGCCTGACTTCGTGCAGCTAGGTGGTGGAGACGGACTTGATTTGACGAAACTTGCCGTCGTGGATTCAATTTGCGGAATGGACTCAGTGCCAGGTAAAACCGACCACTTTCCAATTACATATATGTGCACGCCGTGCTGAATATCAACACTTACTCCTTAATTAATTGTCTTCAAGTTCAAAGCGCTTTTAGCCCAAAGAGTTGCAGATGTTGAACGCAACCCTGCTCATATGGACAGCGCCTTCACTCTGCAAGTTAGGCCAGCTTTCGTGCCGTATCAGGTGTCTAAGTGAGGAAAAACTGTAGGTTGTCGTCGTCGACCGCTTGGAAACAAAATTCATGTAACTTAGAACTATATCCTGGCGATTTTGAAGCATCTTCCCGTTTTCTTTTGATGTTTATTAATTTTTTTTAAATGATTGTTTGCCTATACTAAGAAATAAATAAATACTTCTTCCCCTCAGTGTTTTTTTATAGGAAGAAGTGCTTTCCATGCATACATAACAAACACTTGAATTTTATTTATTTCTTTCTTTTTTTAAGCGTGCCTATAGGGCTCGCTTTTTGAAATCACTCGGATGTACTGTAGTACAGCACACCGATCGACCAATGCTTTTCAAGGGGCGGTCCGAATTTTTTTTCCGTCGGATCCGTTCTTCCGTTTTTGAACCGTTATAGTGTCAAGCCCTGAAGGTCATTCATCGAGAAACCGAATTATCCTGTTACTGGAAACCCTTGAGAACATTTTCCCNTCTTGTTTTTTGTTAAAACTGAATATGGAAAACATAGTTTCCCCGATGCTTCCGAAATGCGTCTAGTTAAGTGCGGCGACTTAGAAACTTATCATTCCCGCTAGAATGATTTGATGAACAATGAATAAATGCAGTAATTTCAATTTCTCACTTGAATTCCGAAGATGAATTGAAAAAAAAAAAACCTTGTGTCATAGCCACATTTTATCTGCAAAGTGGCAGATGCCCCAGCTTAAAGATGAGTGCAAACAGTACAATGGCTAATGAATTCCATGTGATATTTACAGAAAAAGTGGTTGAGACGATTTTTTGCGGGGTGACAACGGTGAGACTGGTATCTAGCGGAGAGTTCGACAATGCTGTAACGATTGCTGTGAGGCCGGCAGAGGAAAACGACATACCCACCGCCAGTCTGGTTTGCGGTCTGTAAGACAGGTTAGCATTACACACATCCGCCTTTTCAATTGTATATGTATTCAGGAACTCCTGATGATTGATTCTCTCTGATTGAAAATAGGTGGTAAGCTATATTTTATAAATATTATGGAAGCAATTAGTGGCTCGCGGAGTTTTAAAGCACACATTCTAAATCTCTTAAGTTTTAGGGAAAAAAAGAAAACTATTAGTTTTTGTGTGCAGAGAGGTGACTTTATGGATGAGCCAGAAATGGCAATTCCTCAAACTTTACCGCCTTATTTTCCCGAAAACTTCAGTCCGTTTATCCTAACTGAAAAGAGAGTTCGGTGCATTTGGAACAAATTTTGCAGTTAGAAACCGCCGCGGCTCACTGTAAAAACAAAATATGTGCCATTAGCTTTCCGGTGTATGTAGGCACTTTTAGATTTTATAGATATAAGTCGCTCATTTGGAATTTTTGCGATAAGAAACTACTACCTCTTCAATAAAATCACCTATCTGGATAGAAATACTGGGGGCACATATGATGGCTCGGAAATGAGCCAGAAAGAGTAATTTCTAATCGCAAAATCCAGTTCATTTAGTGTTCCATCTTTTAATTGGAGAACATTTTGCTATTAAGAACCACAATTTTCGAGTCGTCCGTAAATACACTTATACGGAGAAGGTAACTAATGTTACGTACGTCTTTTCTAAACAGAGTCATGAGTTGTAGCTCCTAATTGCAAAATTTGGCCGAACTATCATAAAATTTACTCAAGTCCAGCCTCCTCACGACTAAAATTAAGTCAGCTACCCTCTTAAAATAGATCAAAGGGAATTTTTTAAACAAATGTATGGTTTTTTCCTAGGCAAATGTAGTATGGATTTTAATTTTCTCATATTGACAGTGTTTTGGCCGTAAAAATTCCTTTGATCTATATCATGGCACCGATGAACAATCTCTTAAAATAGGCATGTCCTTTTTCGAAGCACCCGATGTGACTAGATGCCCACTGCTCATAATGACGTCAAATGTACCGGAAGTCGGGCGAATACAAACAAACGCACGAGGACGGGGGCGGAGCTTCTCGTTGTTAATCACTCACCGCCAGCCGCTGATAACAATTCGTAATTGCAAAGTTGCAACGCTAAATTTGTCGGCGGACCCGCTAAATTTAGCTTTTAACTCGATGAAAAGTTGCGGTCGGCGGAACTGTGGCGACCAGGCCTCGTCTCCGCACTCGGCTAATCAAGATCGGGCTCTTTGAGACGCAGACGAGATGGCTTTCAAAACTTCGTCGCTCCTCGGACGTAAGAGCGTGATTGGATTTGCGCGTGAGCCCTCGATAGCATACGGCTTATGGACGCCGAGGCTCATCTCGAAATTAGGTTGAGTCCCTTTGTCGGAGAGGCAAGGACTTATCAGCGGGAGGCCGAGGCCGATGTGATGGTGTAGTGAGCCAGAGACAAAGTCCATTCAATCCGGGGAAACGTCGAAATGACGCTCATTTTCCCGGGTTCCGCATATCTGTCAAAGTTCCTCCACTACTTTTCCCGCCCTTCTTCGGCTTTTTGTCGAGTGTCGTCTTGGAACTGATCATGCGAATCAAATCCGCTCAAATGGTTTCTCTCCCAGTATCAAAGTCTCCAAGTAGTAGTGGTGTTTTAAGTAATACATGACATTAAATTACGGGGGTGGGGCAAGTTTGTCTTACAAGTTCTTACGGATAGGAGTGGAGTGGAGGAGAGCTAATATTTTCCAATAAAAATAGTTTGCCCAACGTATTTTGCAGGTTTTCTCCGTTATTTTCTTATAAATGTGAGTGGGTGGATGGGAGGTGGGGGGTCTGGCCAGTCTTATGTTTTGCGTACCTCGAAACAGAAGATGATGAAACTCTTCCAGTACCAAAGTCTCCAAGTAGTAGTAGTGTTTTAAGTTACGTGGCATTACATTACCNGGGGGGGGGGGGGGAACAAAATTGTCTTACAAGTTCTTTCAAATAGGAGAGGAGTGGAGGAGAGTTAATATTTTCCAATTTTTATAAATACGAGTAAATCATAAGTATTTAGGAAGAATCACCAATAAATCGATCGAGCTGTGAACTCGTATTCTAAAATTGATTGAGTTACCGCGGGAAAAGTCTAAAACAATTATTGACGCTGATTCGTATGTCTAAATAGTCCAATAATCATCATTTCGTGACTTAGTCAAAAAAGTTATAAGAACTAACCCAATTTTTTATACCTGACTCCAGAATATAATTTTAACCAGAGGAACGGCAGATACTTTGTTCTCTTTCTTGGGTTGACTCGTGACGGCAAGCAAGTGATCGTTTTCAGATATGTTCGTAGGATATCTCACCCCACCGACGAAAAAGAAATGCCGTGTTATCGTCGTCAAGCGTTTCAGTGATTTTTTGCGGATAGACTAGCAGAATAGTTGGAATTATTAAAGCATTTTCCAATCTGTTGAGAGACTGCTAATCCCCCACTCAGGACGTTGCCACACTTACAGTCCACCAAAATAATCCCAGCATCTTGGAGTTATTCTCCGTGGCTCGTGAAACTTCTTCGGGCGACAGTGTGTTTTAACCATAATTAATCACGTTTTTTCCGATCCATTCCCTCGTCTCGAACTTTAATTACGTTCAGTTTTTAGCCGTGAAGCAATTACTCCCTGCGCCATCTTAAACTATGATTAAAGCAGGTAAAATTAGATCTTTGTCGATTTAATGAAAATATTCTTTTACGACCACGTAATTCTTTGCTCAAGTTCTAGCCCACGTCCGGGTCTCTAAGGCAAATTTTTATCATTGTCAGACAGTTTAAAAGACACTGACTTAAAAAAACGGAGCAGTTATTTAAGTTAGCCACGGAGTTCATTTCAGGAAGGAAAATTAATTAAACTTTCTCCACCGTTTTCTCTTTTTCAGGAGAGAGGAATCAGGGAGATTTTTTTTATATCTCAACGAGTAGTAAAAAGGACCCTACAACAAAACGGCCAAATCGGCCTAAACACGGAATCGTACGATTTTCTCAGGGATGATAGAGGGTCTTCCCAGACACTCAAAACTGGTCATATTTTTTGCCTAACCCCCAGGGAAAGGGGGGAGAGGGGGTCAAAGTCAAAACCTTTAAATTAGCATAACTTCTCAACGGTTTGTCGTAAAAAGATGATCTTGGTGTCAAAATTTCCAGAAAAATGAGAGCTTTCAGAATATATGTATGAAATTATTTAAATTTTAAAATTTGACCCACTTTTGGGGCATTTTACAAGGTCCCCCTTTCGTAAATTTTCGTTTTTTGAGATTTTCGGTTGTTCGGTTCGCACGGATCAAAACAAAAACAATTTCAAATGAAAGTAGAGCGTTTAAGCTTTAAAACAAGCCCAAGATGATCTTGGGGAAACGATTAGAAGTGGAGTTATGAGTCTTCAAAGTTGACGCGGCGGGCGGGAACCTTGTATGTTCCGAGTCTCAAGGTCACCTGCGCGCCCCGGATTGCCTGCAGGTTGCAAGTTTTTGTGTTTTTATGCTTCTGTAGGTCATTTTTAATGTAAATCATTCAATGAAGATAGTTTAATCAGAATTTTTTAATTTTACACAATGGGCCTTCGGCGAGGTACACCACATTAACGTCAAAAAATTTTAACTGCGTTTCAAATAGCCCCCTCAAGAATAACTGAGACTTGTCTTGAAGCTCAAAGCTCGTCTGCTTCTACGAGAAACTATTTGGCTTTACCAAGTGAGTTCCGTCAAGCGCTGTAGCTTATAGCTCAATTAAAAAATTTTAAAATTAGTGGTACCCCAAAATTTGGCATCAATGGGTTATAATTTCTAAATGGTTCAGTTCTGTATGGAGCATTATGTATATTTGAACTGAGGGTCCATGGTTTCTAATAAATTATAAGAGCAGAATCGTCATCGTCAGCAAATGTTCAATGAGGTATGATGGACATAATGGTTGATACTCTAAGCCCCCTCTCGCTCCTCCCGTAAAATTAAAAAATTTCGATTATTCTATCTTCATTGAATGATTTACATTAAAAATGACCTACAGAAGCATAAAAACACAAAAACTTGCAACCTGCAGGCAATCCGGGGCGCGCAGGTGACCTTGAGACTCGGAACATACAAGGTTCCTGCGCGCCGCGTCAACTTTGAAGACTCATAACTCCGCTTCTAATCGTTTCCCCAAGATCATCTTGGGCTTGTTTTAAAGCTTAAACGCTCTACTTTCATTTGAAATTGTTTTTGTTTTGATCCGTGCGAACCGAACAACCGAAAATCTCAAAAACGAAAATTTATGAAAGGGGGACCTTGTAAAATGCCCCAAAAGTGGGTTAAATTTTAAAATTTAATTAATTTCATACATATATTCTGAAAGCTCTCATTTTTCTGGAAATTTTGACACCAAGATCATCTTTTTACGACAAACCGTTGAGAAGTTATACTAATTTAAAGGTTTTGACTTTAACCCCCTCTCCCCCCTTTTCCCTGGGGGTTCGGCAAAAAATATGACCAGTTTTGAGTGTCTGGGAAGACCCTCTATCATCCCTGAGAAAATCGTACGATTCCGTGTTTAGGCCGATTTGGCCGTTTTGTTGTAGGGTCCTTTTAGACGATATTGTTAACAGCATTGTTTTCAACTTCGTATTTTAAAATTTATAAATGATCGAAAAACAGCAAGATTCACGATGACATTTTTTTTTAGCAAACTTGAAAGAAAAAGTGATTGTTTTAAAAGGTACCACGGAGAGCACGAAAATAATACACTGATTTAAGAAAAAACGTATATCCAAAACGTTCAGAATAATTTCCCTAATTTTTACTATTGATTGCACGTTTGAATCGCAGATTTTCATTGTTTTTCTCAATCGAAACGGTTCCAATATCATTAGATGAAGGAAATTTTAGTGTTCACTGAAATCACAAATAATAAAAAAATGAGGGTTCAAGCTTTCACTATAATTTTGCACTAGCTGATTTTCACTAAATCGATCAATAACCTCCGGTAAGATTTTTTCTTAGGCACTTACGAAAAACCTACTGAAAATTTTTTGGTCATATGAGCAGCGTTTACGGTGCATAATATCGCCCGATATTTTTCAGATTTGTCAATCTGAATATTTAATTAGTGGGAGTCAACTAGTGTCTCATTTAACTGAACTTCAGCTCGGATTAATATTAGAAGATGGGCCAATAGGTCGGGTTTACAAACTTTAAACCACAAAGGAGAATAGGACATACATGGTTCAAAAGGCGGAACTTTCCGCCGGTGTGGGTGGGTCCTGAAATTGATCTACTCAGAGTCCCCCACAAATCCTTGCATATACGCGAGTAGAGGGAGGGATATAGTAATCTTCTCAGGTACCCATTTCACCCGCAAGATCAGAAATTGTCCGAAAATTCTCTTGAAACTTGAAGTTTGCGACATAAACAACTTTCCTTATTATCAACCCATCAAATACGTGTCCTCGCCAGGGAGGGGATTCCCCTAAAATGTGTATCTTGCTTTCGGCACGGCAATGAACAAGTAATTTTCCTTTAGGAACTAAATGTAAAAGTAACTGTATACTAGATGAAGGAACACGTCAAGGAAAACCTGAAATTTTTCCAATTTGTTTTCCAAATATTATTCACTAGTAGCAACGACTGTTTAACACTTTTTTAAGAAAACTTGTGAATCGCAAAAAGACAAAAAAAAAAAAAAAAAAAAAAAAAAAAAAAAAAAAAAAAAAAAAAATTGTTAGAAGTTACGTGAAGGAAATCCTATTTTTGGATTGGTCTTAAGGAAAATTTATGGGGGATATTAGCAAGTAAAAAAGTTAAAGAAACCGTTGAAAGATCTCTAAAACTTACAAAAAAGATATAAATAACAACAAATCTTCATAAAGCTTCTCAAACTTTTTAGTAAACTTTACCAAACATAAATCGCACTTGAAAAACACCCAAAAAAGTTCCTTTGTTGTGCACTTCATAGTTGTTGGAAAGCGCTCATCAACGGCCAGTGCCACTAAAGTTATACTCTTTCCAATATACCCCATAAAATCCCGGGAATGTTGCTCCGAAATAGGATTAAATGTGGCGTCAAAGTTAGAATATTGCCGCAAGGACCGAACCTGCGTCAACACTTCCATCTCGTCCATTTATTTACACTGCTCTTAGGGGTGGGTTGCGAAATTCGAAGAATCAAGTTTTTGCTCATTAAGATGGTAGCGTGTGATGCAGACTTACAAAACCTCACGTAACGCGAATATTAACGAGGAAACTCCCATTACTTACACTTAATTTAAATACAGACAAGAAAATTTTTCTCTGTATCCGGGTCGATTTCCACTATCGCGATTCTATTAGATTCGCGATGAATCTAATAATCAATCTAATAATCTAATAATCGTCTAATCAATGTGAACATCGCGTTCACATTGATTATTCGACTTATCGCGGGCAATGAAAAGCGCGCCCGCGAGCACCGGGCATAGCGCCTTCAACATCGCACAGATACTTCGAACGATACACCTTTGCACATGCGTTCTGTAGTGCAAATTGCCTATACTGCGCCTGCCGGAATGCCTGCCTGCCGCGCTCTACGGATCCTACGATAGAGTGAATTCTCCACGAGTGAGAAAAATACTTAAATCTAAAATCCCGAGGCATGCAAGAGCTCTGTTCTCAAACTTTTAACTTCATATTAACGGGTCACTAAACCTCTTGTTGCTTCTTTTATTTTCTAAAAGTACCGGATGAGTAGATTATGTGGTGATTTATTACGTATTTTTGCAGCCAAAATCCCAGGCAAAAGCCCGCTTTTAAAAAGTCCAAAGACCAGAGGGAATTTAGAACGAAACTACATTTGGACTGCGTTTAGCAGAAAAGGACCAAGCCACATCAGCTATTGCCTTATCTAACCGAGCAATTTAATTTTTTACAAGAGAATGTTTGTGCGTTTTTTTTTAAAATTATAAGGAATTTTCTTCGTACCGAGGAGAGAGTGCACCGAAATTTTCAAAAAAATTCTCACTAGAGTTCTCATATGTAAAATTATGCCTAATTAAATTTGGCAATAGCTGATGTGGCTTGGTTCCTTTCTGCTTAACGGGGTTCATTTCAACCCTTCTGATTGTTATATAAATTGCAATGTAAAATGCAATCGCAGATTGCATTTTTTCCCAGAAACTGTCGGTCAATTCTGACTGAAAATTTGACTGATTTTCACGTAGATTTACGAAAAAATCAACAAAATTTTCGACAGGAAGCGCACAGTCATATTTGTGTATAGATTTGAACTGTTGCGTCAATTTTGCAATCGTGAAATAGAGTTATGTTCCTTTGACTGAAAAACGACGACTTATCGGTAATTGTCGGGTGATACCTATTTTTAGCACAAGATACCTTAATGAAACCCGGAGAAGCGTGGAATGAGGTGATAATTTTATTTGCGGAGAAAAGGCGGAAAAGATTGGCCGCTGATTTCACCTTCTTCGAATTGAATTACTATCACTGGCTAAGAATAGGCTTTTTTTTATTTTTTTTTATAAATATGTACCATGTAGCCACGTACCCAATTTATTGTGATCGCCCACGAGAGAAGAGACCTCAACGGACTTTGCTGAATTTTTGTCCAATGACCTTGATCTGCGAACCCCTATCCAAGCAATGTTCTCGATATTAGCAGGGATGTCACTCATCAAAAAACAGGGCGTAAACCGTCACTCTTCGCAATAGCGCATAACATGGTCTCTCCCACCTCGTAGTTACATCCGTGTTTTACGTTGAACAACCCTTGCAAATGATTGTGTCACTGATTGATAAAGCTAAGGTGGAAGATCAGATGGTATGCAAAACGGATATGGATGACGTCATACGCCGATTTTTTTAATGGAGGATAACTCCATAAATGTTGAACGTATAAATTTGGCGTTTGGACAGATTTCATTATTTCTTGCTAATTTTTAAGCTGAATCATTTAACACGATTCTGTGACAAGCGCAACTGTCTGACTCATTACTCCATCTTGATTTGGAATTTTCGGACGATCCTACTGGCACCAATTTCAAGATTTTTGGTACGGCAAAGTATCTTTTCCCGTGGGTGGCTACAGCAATTTTTGTGGTAACGCCGGTAATTTTTATTAAAAATAAATTGCATGCAGCCATACATAAATTTTACGTTTATGAACTTACGATTTGATTTTTTAACGATTATTTTTGTAACATTCCTCACATCTTGTTCACAGTCTGAGAGCAGCACTGACCTAAGAAATGAATCTGATGGAATGCTTCTATTTGAGCCACGCGTTTCAACTTTTACATTTTCCCAGTGATTCTAATCGTTTCCTATTCTCGCATGATGACAACTCAACTCAAGAGTGACGTACCTACAAAGTGAAAGCTTCAGATTTTGAATCTGTCCAGCAGGTTCTGTAGAGACTTGACCGTGATATTGTCCTAATTGTGAATTTTTTTATGCATATAGACAAAGAATGGAAAAAAATGAAATTATATTACAAAGAGAAGCTAAGTCCATTATACCAATATATACCGCTCCAAGCGCTTTCAGAGGAAAGGGATTTCACGATAATGATTTTTTATCACATCAGACAAAATAATAAAAGAGTCACCTCTGGTGAAAAAGATCATTCGCGCGCATTGATATCTGTCGCACTCTTTAAAATTTCCCATGTGATGAAGGGAAAATTCTAAAATTCAGTCTCCAATTCGTCTCAGTATGTTTGGAAAAACGGAAGAATAAGTGGACAATATAATTACATGTGTATGATAATCACTAACTATAGCACCCAGTTATTCTGGCAGGACAGATATTCTCCGAAAGTAATCACCAAAAGAAAAAGTCATCAGGAAAGTAATCATTAAAAATCAAAATTTTTATTTCACCAATGACCTCAGTTTTGAACAAGAAAGCATTATTCATGTTCAAACACTGAATGACACAACATCGATCCAAATATCCGAAGAGTAATCCTTCACTAAAAAAGAAACAGAAACAGAAAAGTACGAAAATATAATGACAGCATAGGCATGTAGGTTTATCACCTATTGTCTATCTACTTTTATCCCTGTTTTTATAGAATTACACCGAGATGGAATGCGTATAATATTCGGGTGGTTTTTATTCTTCGGTAATCACGTGGCTTCTAATTTTTCCCACTGAGATCATTGCAGGAAACAGGAAGTGGCTTTCATTTTATACATATTAAATAAATAAATAAAAATGTACAAAACATGGCATTTATTTCATATATATTTTAGCTCTTTCCCGGTCTCTTCTTTTTTCAATCAACTGGCAACAGTGAAACAGAGGCGGCTCGGTAAAACATGTTCACCTATGATATTTGACTTTAATTTTTTATGTACCTCACGAGCGAGAATTTTGATTATCAACAAATAATGAAGGGAACTTCACATGGTTGAAATATCACCCTATGCTAACGATACTTTAATGTAAACGCAGTGAAAATATGCGTTTTCTGGTTTTTTTGTTTATTCTTTGCAGACGTACATGAAAATTTACACTCATGATTTCCCACAAGATCCCATCAGCCTGCATTTTGTAGCTGAATAGCTTGTTGTAAAACGTGTGTCGTTTCAAAAATCGATGCGAGGTGTTTGATCTCATATCTTTGTTGTCCCAAGTGAAGTTTCAGCGCAAAAAAACATGAAATTAAACGCCAAGAGTAAAAAAGAAGACCTGAAGGAAAAAGCCATCTGCTTTTGTCTTAAACTCCTGCAGAATTTCTTATTCGTAGTAAACAGTACAATGCATTCAGTATTTGAAAGAAAAACTTGATTATTATTTTAAGGCTCTAAATCTCGTTACCCTCGGATGAAGACAGGCATTGGTCGACGGAATCAACATTTCTGGAACTGTAATTTTGAAATCTGGTCAGTTAGTTCCAAGAACTACAAAGATGCAACTAAGGAGTGATGTTCTGTATGCTTTATTTGAAGGAATGTCGATTGTCCATTCATCATGAGTTAGGTGCATCTGATACAGAGTTGTGTTTCAATAGTCGCAAAAAACCAAAACCAAACCCAAGATTAGAGACCAGAGGACGAATACCAATAACATTGATCCAAACACCAGATTGTACTTCAATTTTTACGGAGATATCGACAATTCAAAGAGCGGCCAGTCAGATGACAACGATCAACCGGGATCAACCGAGGCGATGGTGATAGGAAAATATAATTTATCCAACTCAATTTTAGCAGTGCGCATGGAAATCAGAGGATTAAATTTTTTTTGAAAACAGACCCGCGACAAAAAAAAATCACTGCTCGGCAAGGTGGATGGCGTCATTAATGTGTTTTTCGGAGGGTGATGCGGTCGTTAATATTTGATTTGGATGATTATGTTGTCTTGGGAGTATGGTGTCTTTAAGTAGATCTCATTCCATTGTACCGCTTTTTAATCTGCGATCATCGAGACACCATTCTGTGGTTGATGCATCTCACCAATTTCGTCTTCCTGGCTATTCACCTGTACTTCTTTTCATAATCTGATACTTATCCTCATCATAAATGGGGATAGATTATGAATGAACGTATTAATTGTACCTTATATTAACAATATGTTTCCGTTTCTCTAGGGAAAAGTTCTGTTTAGTTTTGCTATTTATATTTGTATAATTTATTGTAGTTGTTAATGTTTCAATTTGTGTTTTCTATTTTAATTTCAATAATAAATGCTACTGAAAAATATACTCGGTGCTGAATTGACACGCTTTATTCTCTATCATATTCCTCAATTGTTTTACGATTCGTGAAAATCAAGAAAAGAGTGTCCATAGACCCCAAAGGCCCAATTTTGAAGAGAGCTATTTTTGAGATATTGGGATGGAAATTTATGCTTAAGTTCTCAATTGAAATCACTGTCTATTACCGAAAAAATAGGTATGAGCAGTATTAAATACTTGGGGTTACAGATTTGGCTGCTACGTGATCCAACCACTATGTATCATGAAAATTGGCTGGGTGTAGGTACCTTAATAACAAACTGTGACGAGCAATGAAAATGTCATTTTTTAAATGGGAAAATTCACAACTTTATCACGTACTATAAAAAAAAGTGGGTCATATTTTCAAAATCTGAATAAAGCGGGTTCATTGGAGGACTATCACCTGTTGATATCCGCAAAAATCATGGTAATCGGCCCGATAAAACGGTAGAGCAACCCGTGACAATTAAATGAACATTTTGAAGGTCAAAGAGCATATCGTATTGATGATTGTCGTCGTCAATACGTGATAATTTACTTTAATTCACACATCTCTAAGTTTCGTTTGAAGAGTAATAGCTCTGAGTTTATAGAAACCGTACCCGACGTGAATAAAATATAAGAAAGAGGGTGTTAGAAAATACGAGGCCAAAGCAGAGGATGCCAAGATGCCATATGTCGAACCGCCCCCGTATGGCACACCCACTCATGACAATGCATGGGTTGTAGGGAGTGAAACTTCGGAAATTTAGCTCATCAATAGGGGGGTGCTTTGAAAATCCTCCAGGAAAAAGAAATTGATCCTCAAAGTTGCCTGAAAGTTTTTCGTCGTCATGTCACCCCACTTCTTCGAACTGGCCCGTTCACGACTTTACTCCACCATCTGGTCATATTTGATATCATAGATGAAATGAATTTGGTCACGGTGTGCAGTATGGACTGTTCCTGGTGTCACTTTAATGACTCTGCATTTAAACAGGTATACTTACTATCACACACAAATCAAATTGAGTAGGTACAAAATTTTAAAATTTACCCATTATGAGACGAACAATTTGTAAAGTCGCACACGCATTTTCACATTAGCTTATTCCCGCGGGTATTTTTTTATTCGCCAGCAAACAAGTTTGTTTAGAAGGACATTTGACCTAAATATACAAACAATCCTGCCAATCGTTATCAGTTTCTCTCCTTTTCAAGTACAGCTTCGATGGATTTAAAACTTTTTTCTGCCCTTCTTTCTTAATAAAAGGCTTGTTTAAAAACGATTGATACCACTCGTGGGAATAAGCTGTGTCACACTATCAAAATACTCTATTAAAATGTCGAGGTCAAGTGCTGCGATTGGTTCAAGTCATTGATTAAGCCTATCACAACTCCTGACCTTGATATTTTGATGGTTATATCTTTGATAGTGTGACACAGGCTGATGATTAACGAATTCGGCAGGATTATTAATGTCCTAAATAGGTTGAGTTATTTATTATATCTCTCTGTGGGCTAACATACATGCTGGCGACATAGGAAAATATGACAACAGACGCTGTAAATTTGAAAGTGTGCATTGCCGACAGCGCAAGCCGCGCGCCACAAAATGTATTTCAGACATTCCGGTATGCTTAATGAAATTTTTGTGCAATTTCATCTGTCATAGGTGTATTCAGTCGGTTGTATCTTTTGTATGCAACAGATTTATCAAACAGGTGGGAAAACAGATGATCTTGGAGAAAAATCTTAAGATGATCGGCTTTCTATAGAGTAACTATTCGATCCTCCGAGTAACAAAATCGCCTATATGCGCATTTGAAGGCGCCTTAAATTGTCAAGTGAGGCTTGTTCTTTTTTACAGAAGTGTAAAAATAAGGCAAATATTAAAATTTTTGGGGTATTTTTTTAACTCATGAATTTGACCACATTCGTATTTCGTAAAATTCTATTGTTTTTGGCGGACTCAGGAAGTAGCTCTTAGAGGGCATGGGTACAAGGGTGGCCCACAAAAAATGAATTTCGGAAATTCATAGCCGTAACCCCCTAAATCGGTTACAGCATGTTCAAAAACACGGAAAATGAAATTTGGGGTCAATCGGACAAAATCAACCTGACTCGCAGTTGCCATTTATCCCCGCAAAAATAGCGAATTTTTACTGTTTTTCAGTAATTTTTCGCTCCCAAAAAATAAAGTCGGAGGGGTCTGCAAATTGAATAGAGGGCAAAATTAGTTCATAAACTACACTTTAGTGAAGTTTTGGGCCCCCTCCATGCTTTTGACCCGACGCGTGGTTGCCATTTTCACGAATGAAAATAGCGAATTTTTGACTGTTTTTGATGATTTTTCCCTCTCGATAAATTAACGTTACAGATGCCTAAATTGTAATCAGAGTGTGAAATTAGTAGCTAAGATGCTCCCAATGCTCCCCTTCTGATAATTTTGACACGCTGCGAAGTTGCCATTTTTCTGAGCAAAATCGTGAATTTCGACTTATTTCAATATCATCTCTCTAGACAAAAAAAAAAAAAAAAAAAAAAAAAAAAAAAAAAAAAAAAAAACTCAGGAGCCATTGAAAAAGTGCGCTAAAACACGGTGATTATACCATGAGTATCTTTTTTGAAAATTTGGACCCTGTAAAATGTTTTACTCGGCGTGAAGTTACCTTACTATCTGACCGGTCAGGCAGTATACTGTCTTAGATTTCGAAAGTCTCAAGATAACATTTTTGGCAATTTCTGCCATTTTGGATTTTTGAATTTTAAAAATTCGAGTTGAGATTCAAGTTCCTCGTTAAAAAATACCCCCTGACACCATGACGGTGACAGTCAAGTTTCATACGTTAGTGCGCCTTCAATTACATTTGATACCGTGCAATACTTTCGTGGTGGAATAGTTGCATTGGCGCCTACAAACCTAACAGGGATACTGCATGCATTGCGCAATGAGTGAAGTATCCCTGTTAGGTTTGTAGGTGCCAATGCAACTATTCCGCCACGAAAGTATTGCACAGTATCCAATGTAATTGAAGGCGCATTAACGTATGAAAATTGACTATTACCGTCAACCACTGTTTGCCAAGTGGTAACTTCACGCCGATTAACACATTTTACAGGGTCCAAATTTTCAAAAAAGATACTAATGGTATAATCACCGTGTTTTAGCGCACTTTTTCGATGGCTCCAGAGTTTTTTTATAGGTCTAGAGAGATGATATTGAAATAAGTCGAAATTCACGATTTTGCTCAGAAAAATGGCAACGTCGTTTGGAAATTGAAAGGGGGGAATTTTTTTCGTTTTGTATATCTGAATCGATCTTTAATAAGATTAAATTTAATGGATTTTGATACATTTCAAGGCATGTTTGGAATTTTTCAAGTTTTTTCCATGCATAATTACCCCTCTCCGAAACAACTTTTGGTACCCCCAAAATTCGACTGAGATTATAGTATAGTAACACTTCCTCGCTTCTTGTGACGTCCGACCCTTTTAAAGACAAAAAAAAAAAAAGGTTCATGGATAGATGGTTGTTTCGCGCAAAAAAGGCAACAGCAATCCGCGAAAACTTTCAGGAATCCCACGGAGCAGCCACGCGAAAACTTTCAAACTTGGAGCGGTCGGAACGTATGGCGGATTAATTGAAGCTATTGGCGTGAAACGAGAGGCTTCGATAAGTTTCAGTGGTGAATACGTAGGACGACGGAGGTCAGTGAAAAAAGCGTTCAACATGCCTCGACAGTTAACGTAACTTTCTTGCGCCATCGCACCGTATTGGCGATTTGTGTCAGTAATTATAAGTTTAAATTAGAAATAAAAACGGGTATTTTACTCAGTGAATGAAACATTTATACTTGGTTGAAGTCGATTGAAAATAAGCCGTAAAATTCGAGTGATGGAGGAATCGCCTTCAAATAAGCGTGTAGACAATTTCGATCCACGAACTCCGATCATCAATTCTCGAAAAGAGGAAAAGGAACGGAGGGCAGCTCTGCGACAAGCCGTCTTTTCAAGGGATTGATGGAATCCGGGCATCTTGCTTACTCTCAATTTGGTGGAACAACACGTCATCCCGCCAACACCTCAAACACTTCAATGTGTCCCAAAATCGAGACCGCATTGCAAAATTTCTGCTTCTTTCCTTATATTTTTGCAACGAGTTTGTCTGTTTGGCGTAATTTGTCGCTCCAAGTTCCGCCACGGACAGTATCAGATATATAAATTAGAAGACTTCAACCCAATCCAATTTTTCTATGCTTTGTTTATTTTTTCTCCGTAAAAACTACATAAGTGTTAATGTGACGTTCTAGTGTTTCCGGGAAATTCTTTCACAAAACGAAAATGAAGTTCACATCATTTTAAAGCAGGACAGGGCCGGATTACATGGGCCGCGGCCCATGGCGGCAAAATGTAGGGGGCGGCAAATTTTTGCCATCTTTTTGAATGTAGGTATCAAAAAGAGAGAGAGAAAAATCGGATTCAGAAAATAAATTACAAACGAGAAAAGTCGACAAAATCTCTCATTTTTTGAGAGTGAAAGTATAGTGATTTCTAATTTTGTCGTCTTTCGATGATACAAGAGACAACACCTTTAATTAGTCGAGTTAAGCGAGAAACCAAACACGCAATTTGACTTGGAACGGCGGTCGGCATGAAACGCATAGCGCCTACAAGACTGCATGAATACTCCACGCATTGCGTCAAACACACTGCGGTCAGCAGCGGTCGGCGTGAAACGCATAGCGCCTACAAGACTGCATGAATACTTCACGCATTGCGCCGACACAGTGCGGTCGGGCAGCGGCGGAAGTTAAAATTATTAACCACGTTTATGTTTCTTCTTTCATAATTGTTTCGTTCGTTTTTTATAAATGGAAGGCCTTATCCAAACAGGGATGGATTTACGGAACTGATCTTTTGTTAATGTTGACAGGGCTTTCACAAAAAATGTAGCCAACACGAGTAAACGCGTCTCATACACCCCTCCTCCACCATGCAGCACGTTCACTTGGTGGTTTT